ACAATAGTCTGGAATGTGTACAGGGATTGGACATGTTGGGGAGGTACCCCTTGGTCTCATTTCTTGCTGGGTATATTCCATTTAGCAATGGGTATGAAAGATTTTATGCTCAATATTATCCAATTATTTAAATTCTGGGGACCGAAAAGAATCATGTCATGTGGAAGAAGTAAGAAGTCAGTGGTCAGTGGATGTATGCACTGCAGTTCTGACTTTTAATTCAAACCATTCAGTTGCCGGGAATTAACTTGGATTTTCATGTCAGATACACTGCAGTACAGTGGTGGTGCTTCTGCACTTGTTTCATTATTTGTATGCTCAGCAAGGAGGTAGATTTTAGAAGATTCTGCTTCAACATTTTACAGTTTTAACTTCTTATAACTCAAACCAACACTGTTGTATGACACAATAAATAGTTGATTGCCTCCACTGTAATGATGGTTCATCACACTGTGTTCTGTGGTATGGGACTGCGTTCAGAACCACATCTGTGTGGCACAGATTAATGCCACATACGGCTGCTGTTCATCAACTAGAGATACCGATCACTACACCTCCTAAATTTGGACTGCCACCTTCAATATCCATCTATCAGGAGATTTTGAATTTAAATGTGTCTTTCGTCAGATCAAGGCTCACCTAATTATTCTGTCAGTCTCTCAGAAACAGCATTTAACAACAGACCAACTGAGTTTGCTAAGTCATGTGATCTATAGTGGGTATAAAAATATCAATAAACGTCTTTCAAGTGTGGTTCACCGAAATAAAGCCAATTTACAGTATGGCACTTACCACATCAATAGTCTAAGTACTTTACCAATTGTAAGCTTTATTTTGGGTATTACCGTGACTTACTGGGTGCAATCAGTCTATTGTACAGTAAATGAGGTAAAACATACAGGATTTAAATAAATGCTCCAGGTTGAGTTGTCCAAGGTAAGTGAAAATTTGACTTAAGCAATCTGAATTAAGTGAGGATTTTTATCAAGAGCATACAAAATCAAATGTTCAAAGTGAATAGTGACAATCCAACTTATCACTTGTCACTGAATGACACGTAAACACCATTTGTCCTTATTTTTCCACAGAGGACGTGTACACTCGTTTGGGAAATCTTTTTTCATTTCCTAGGTTGGCGTATTAATGCATCAAGCTTAGTTGGGTCAAAGCACAGAAGACGATTCTACACACAGACACTGCTACTAAGTGAACCTCCACTCCACAATAATCAGGAAATGCTTTTCTTGAATAATTAGAATTTAACTGGAGAGTGCACATCAAGCACAAAAAAGCTAAGGGATTAAAGACCTTTTTTTTGTTTGGTTTTTGCTGGGGTGTGAAACCACACTTACAAAAGAGACAAGGGTACCAAAATCTAACTAGCAACTCCACTGTACCGAAGCAAAAAACACACATGGCGCCAGGTGACACCTATATACACTATGGCCCATTTAATGTGAACTAGCCGACATGTGGACACACACAACAATTTTTACCAGGGTAATTGAAAAACTGATGAACAGAAGTCAATGGGAAAAGGATGAGAATCCAGATGCCTTAATTCAGGAGTTATGCCTCCCTACGTATTTTATGAGAACAACAATAAATTGCGAGTAAAAACTCCCCCCCCCTCAGCTTTTGCGGGGAGGAAAACCCAACATTAAGTGGCTATATCCAACTTATCCAAGGTTACTGTATTATGAGGCTGAAGAACAAATCAAATTGCTTTCACAGTGAGTTTGTTATCCGTCTTAAGTCCCCCACTCACTAAAAAATTGTTACTTAATTTGACTGATCTTGGCTGTCCACTGATATTACAGACTCTGAAATCTTCTACCTGATTGTATGTTATTCCAGAGTACAAGGACAGGTATGAGAGAGAGAGTGGTGTAGCTCTTTGGAGTGTAAAAGAAGATCCAGCCTCAAACCCCCAAAAATGTGAACTCATTTTAGTGGAGATTACAGACATACAAAAACACTGCTACACATGTTCCACAGGGCTCCTGTAGAACATATGTCTCTGAAGGCACTCTTAAACAATGAATATCATTCCATGTCTCAGCAAAGTTTTTAAAAACATTTTGTTTTATCTTTTTGAGCAACCATCATCCTCTTTTTATACATTTTTAGCACTCATTTTGATGACAGTCCCAATCTAAGGAGAAACTTGCCGATATTCTTTGTTGTTTTTGATGTGCTATTTCCCTCATTGTCCTTTAGTGGGTTATTGTGGGGTTTTTTTTACACTGACTGTATCATATCCTCCCCATCTTGATTTTATGGTTACCAAAGATGCTCAATGGATTTCTCATATCTAGGAGTATCTCCAGCCACGATTTAAAAAGATTTAAGAGACAAACAATACTCCTTGCCCCATTGAAAATATCAATTCCTTTTAAATCTTTTAATGAATAATTTACTTTTTGAATCATCATAAGATTTCTGTTGCTTCTCATTTGAATCTGCTTGAAACAAGCCTCCAAAATGCAATTTTTCTCAATTAAACAAGAGAAAATTCTCCCTTTATTTTCATGAATGTTGCGTTCAAGTATTTAAATTTGGAAAATAATATTTGAATATTTGATAATTGATTAAATATTCACATACTTGGCACAGCCCTAGATACCACTGACCAGCCTTTTGCCGGGTGAGACATTTCCATTTTTGTTTCTGTGGAGGCGTACATGCAACTTCATCACATTCAAGATGCTCAACGTTACTATTTGTACTCTAATTCTATTTACTTTGATCCTACAAGTATCTGCACACTCAAATGACTTGGATATTGTTCAAAAAGGAAAAGTCAATACCATAGACCTCTAAAGAATTCATTTGGGATCTCCTTCAGTCAGTGAGGCACACCTACCAACTATGTACCTCACCTAATTGTTAGGTTCATTCAAATCTATATCCAAGAACTGTTACATCGCCATTTTGTTGATTATGGCAGGTGACACTGAACCTCGGTCCATATACATCAAAGTGTCCTCGTGTAATCTGTGATAAAGTGGTCTGATTGGGACAAAGAGTAGCCTGCTGCCATAACGGTGGTATATAGTTTCATGTTAACAGCATGAAAATGTTACCAGAGATTAATGAGGGCCTATGTAATTCATCCATATCATGGAATTGTGGCAGTTGCGTGATGCCATTGTTCAGCTCATCTTTATTTAGTAATTATCTTATGTCTCTCTCAAACCCATTTGATGTATTAATGAACAGCACCAATATTTTTGGCCTCCCAGACTCAACTTCTACTCCTTTCAAAGCATCTTCTTTCCACCAGCACCGTCAAAATCAATGCAAGGCTGGTTGAAATCCATCTCAAGAACTTCAATAATTCATTTATCAACTGGAATTAGGCTTGGGCGGTATTGCCTTTTTCGATACAGCCGTATCCATGAAAAAAATACCGCGGTATTTACTAATACAACACGATATACAGACATCGGTTGCCAGATTCCTGTCGTCATGACACGCATAGTGCATGATTAAAAAATCCATGATATTTTACATTCATTACACAAACGCCAGAACAAAAATTCCCATCCCATTTCAGATAAAATACGCCCCAAATAAGTTCGAATGACTATTCTCGTATCTCAAGAGTCCAACTAATCGCCCAACTCTGAATTATTCATATTGCTGCAAAGAGACTGTACGTTTTCATGATGTACATTTGGCAAGACACAGCTATCCAATCGCAGTACTTGTTCATGACATTATGCTTCCTCAGTGACTATCTCGCGTGCGGGCGGCCGCGCCGCAGTGGGCGAGTGATCTCAGACTACCAATCAATTGTGTCATGCAGCTTGTGTCAAAAATTAAAAGAGAGGCGAAAAATTAAACAAAAAAATGTCTCTCCGTGACACAATTTGTGTTGGAAAGACTACTTCCATGGATGGGGGCTTTAGTTGATGAGCCTTCACATTCTTGCAGGTACATCCAGGCCTACATGTGCATGCAGGTTAGTTACTGTTGGCTTCATCATCATCCTTGGCAATTGAAAGTCTTTAAAAAATCCCTGGATCAATGCTTTCACATGTATTTGCTTTTTTAAATTTCACATGCACATTAAACATGTTGTCCTATGACAGTGAAGTATATTATTCTAAACACATCACAAGGTATTTGATTAATCATAACCGTGAGATCTTTTTGATCAACCATGTTGTCCTAAGTTTATATTCCAGAAAAACTGAAATACAAGCAGTGACAAGTGAGGAATCGGGTCTTTGCTTCTCTTTTCGTTGCTGGGTGACTGAAACCACAAAGTATGCAGTCACTGTTGTGGATGTAATTGTCTGCTTTCATCTTAAGAGGGTTGTGGGAACATTCTGAACAAATTAGCCAGAATACCGCAGTGTTGAAATTCAATACCGAATTAGTCGGTATTCCGGTATTCATGGATTGTTAGTCGGTATTGTTCAGTATTAAAAACAAAACCACGGTATTCGGTAATACCGAAATACCGCCCAAGCCAAACTGGAATGGCCTTAAAAACAAACACATTCTTCTTGAAGTGTGGTCTTCATCATAGAGATGCCACAGGGTCTGCTCAAGAAAAAAAAAACAAAAAAACTCGTTCATTCCATTGCAGGTACAAACTATGTAAAAACAAACCCAACATTCTGATTGGCTGCAATTACTTTTGGTAGATGAGCTGATTTGCTGTGTACAAACAGTTGGCAGATTCGTCAAGACGAGATTTCTGAACTCACAGT